GGCATCACACTCTGTAGGCTGGTGTACCGTGGATCGTAGCAACTCCGATCAGATGGAAATGTTGCATGGTTTTATGTTTGAACAGGTGCCAAAGCTGTTTGACCTTACCTACATTCCTGAAACAAGCGAGGACACCCTGCGAGCAGTCATTGCGGAGGGGCTTTTTCCCTTTGTGTACGTGTCCCCGGCAACCGGTGCAATCACAGATCTTGTTGTTTTGCGCCTGCGCAATCCCGAGTGGCGGGTGGGTGAGGGCCAAGGTGCTGCAATGTGTGTGTACGCCATCTTCACCTCCTTCAAAGGGCCCGAGAAGGCGGAGGAGGTACTCGTACTGAGCGAGATGTTGAAGTGCGAGACGGTATTCATTCCGAACATGTTTGGTTTTCTCGACAGTGACCTGAGCAAGGCGATGTTTGAGGAACTGCTCGTCTGTCGCGAGTACCTCTACGTTCTGAAGACACCGACAGAAAGTGCGCTGCCGCCAACGCCTCTTTCGAAGGTTGCCATTCCCTGCGCCTTTATTTAAGAGTGCTTGTGTGAAGAAACAAAACGAAAAGCAAAATGAGATTAAACAAAAGAAAGAAGGGGAATGTGTGGGTAGAAAATGATGGAGACGTGGGGGGAAGGGGGTCATCTCCTCGTCTTAACGGTAGCAAGGTAGGGCTAGTAGGAGTGGTGAGCAAGGGTGGGACTGAAATGTGATGGATTTCCATCTTTTTAGTGCGGTCACACTTTATTGGCGTGTGTTGTCATGATTACGCAATGATATCGTCTGGCAGACGCGTCGGGTCTCCTCCATAAAAGACCGGAGGAAAAAAAAGGAGCAAGGGATATAAAAGAAAGGAGAAGTAAAAAATAAAATGAGGTCGCACGTTTCGCGGAAATCCAGTGATGGCGTGCTTCCTCTCCTTCCTTATGCACGCACACTGGGGAGCAATAACAAAGAGGGTTTGTGCATTATATATATATATATTTTTAATATGCACCTTTTTTTCGTCTTCTCTTTGTAAAATGTGTGCCAACTGAATGCTTTGTAGTGAAGCCTGTTGAAGCGTATACCAGGCGTGGCACACTTCTTCATAGGTGATAAATTCATTTTATTTGTTTTTTATTTTATTTGCGTTTGTGTGTTTGCGTGTGGGGTCATTTCTTATTCGTTGCTTTTTTATTTATTTAACACAAACGACATGTTTTTAGTTTTGTCTTCATTTTTTTTTTACTTTTTTTTTGTTGTCTGTAGGAGTGCGGTATGAGGTTTATCAAATACGCTTGCGGAAGAGTCGCTCTTTCTGCGAACCTGCATCACGTGTGCAGCCGTGCCACTGATGCAGCCGTGGGGGCGCAACCTAAATCGGCTCTTTTGCTCTCTTCGCGACAGATGGGGTTTGCAGCGGCGTGCCACGTGGTGCATGCTTCTGCTACTCCGTTTGGTGGGCGAAGGTGCCGACGGTGTTGCCGTGGTAGTTCTCTCGGGGACGCACCAGCAACGACAACAGCCCTCATGGCCTCGGCTCGGTTTTGTGGCACGGCCGCGAGAGTAAGCGAGGAGGAGAATTCTGGGGAGGAGGCCAAGGGTCTGCAGGATGCTGAGGCGTTGTTGCGGGAGCGGTTTGGGCCACAGGCTAAGTTGGTGCTTCGGCGGTGCCCGCGGCGTGGAGCTCGGCGAGCCACACAGAAAATAGAGGAGGTTGGGGGGGAGGACGAGGACGAGGATGACGCGGTGGTGGTAGAGGATGAGGAGCCCGTGGCAGGCGACGTATTGTATAGGGAAGACTCAGGGGCTAAGAGAGAGTCGCAGTTGTCACAGGAGCTGACGATGAATTACCGGGCGTCGGCGACGTGTCGACTGCTTGGATTTCCGGTGGAGCTTGCGGTGGCAGTTGGCGAGCGGGCGGATGAGGTTTTGGGGCGTGCCCTGCAAGATGCACTTGAAAGTGACGTGATTTTCATACTTCCCCAGCCAAAGGGCTCGGTGTCATCACAGACGTCGCGTGGTCGTGGACGCGGCCAGCAAAAGCGGGCCGGGCATTGGCGGCATAATGCTACACCTTCGCTTTCACCGCGCCAACTTGAATTTAAGGCAATTATGGATGAACTGCGCGAATTGTGTGTGCATTTCAGTCGTGTGTTGAAATTTGCCATCAAGAGCCCTTCAAAAATGGGGCGACGGGAGGATGACGAGGCAATCGATGCTAATGATAATAACAATAATAATAAAAATAATAACGGTGGAAATTGTAATGCAAATGCGGCCCGCTCAGATTGGATTTGCCGAGCTTACGTGCGTGACGAGTGGGGTGTGGCGCCAAATCTCAGCTTCACTGGCGAGGTGCGTGGCCAGTCAGCGAATGATTCACTGATGCGTTGTTTTGCGATGTTGCGGGACCGTTACCGTGAGGAGCTCGAGTCCGCCTTTGTGCAGCTGGAGAGTGTTCGCGAGGTGGAGGCTTTTGTTCGTCCATGGGGGAAATCCATCGAGAGACACTGCTTCGAAGAGGGCGCGGAGGAGCCGTCGTCGTCGAACAAGAAGGCGGGGCGGAAAAAAGGCTCCGCCGAAACATCCGAAGAGGCGGCAGACGGCGAACGGAAAGAAGGTACGGAGTCTCCGGTGTCGGTTGAAGAACAGTATCGGGTGCTGCGTCCGACAACCTTCACGGCTGCTGTAATCGTCGAAGATGTGTACGGCAACATCAGCGTGAATCAAGTGAAGCGACAGGCCACGCCATTGGCGGCGTACCAAAATGCGTCGGGGCAGGCGCTTCGTTCGGAGGCCGTTCTTTCACCGGAGATTACAATTCTCGATCAGTGCCTCCCACCGGCGCCGTTAATCACCCGCATGCGGTGGCAGTTTGATGCGATGGTGCATAGGCTGGCAAAGGCGCAGGGGAAACGTCCAGAGGAGCTGGCCGTGATTCGGATCGAGGGTGACAAAAAAGGCAATCAGGAAATGGACGGGAAAGATGCAACCATTTCCAAAAAGCCCGACGGTGGAGGTGCCACAGTGGCAATCGAGAAACAATGTGTCTTTTTTACCGCGTGTTTTATATCTGACGGAAGCGTCGTCTGGCAGAATAGCGGCTCGGGTCGCTACCGGCTTGAGTTCGACTGCTATGTGCAGGCATTAACATATCTTCTTGATCAGTATCCCGATACTGGGCTGGCAAATTTTGACGCACGTGGCGGTGGCGTATTGTTTCCCACCACGCAGCTTTTGGAACTTGCGGTACTTAAACATGACAATTACAACGTTGCCACGAACCACCGCGGAAAGTGGAATGTATACGCTCTGCTGGGGACACTCACTTCGCAGCTTATAGGGAGTTTCTACCAAACGACATATCATGAGGACCGTTCTGTCGGGGAGGCAAGGGCAATACTTACCGTGAATGACGGCATGCATTCGGATCAGTTGTTGATTCAGCGCCAGGCGAAGAAGCGTGGAGAGGCCTGGCGGAATGCCTGCCTAGACGCACTGCGAGAAAATTTTCCCAATCAATACCGTGATGCACTGTTGCTTCACCCCGACATTGATCTCTCAAGCGATACAATGGCCCGTGGAAGCAAGTTTCGCGCCCTTCCGCGTGAAAAACGTGTGGAGCATATTGGGAACCTATTCTCACTTGTCGCTGCCTTTGCGGAGGAGGATTTGGGATGGCACAACTTGCGTGTGCGCCTTCGCAACGCCTCAGGGGATTTGGGTCTTCCACAGTGGGTGGCGGAGATGGAGGCACAGATTGAAGGTGAGGAACAGCGGCGCGTGGTTGCCATTTCTCCTCCATATTCACAAGTAAAACATGCCAGGCGTGTCCTTGTGTATCAGCTGGCACAGAAGTACTTTCCGAAAGAACTCCAGGCATATGCGAAGCTGAATCGTGGTGACGCAATAAACCCTGACCAGGACGCGAGGAATGTTGACAATGCCGTGTATCGTGTGGGGGCAGAGTCGTTTGTGAGTCAGGTGATAGCACTTCTTGAGGAAAAGGCTTCCACCTTGGCCCCCTTCACATGGACACTTGAGCAACATGTTGACAGCAACACCTGCGACGATAATAGTAACGACGGCAGTGTTGAGTGTCTTCTTCGTCCTTTTCACCCAAGATACCGGGCGGCAGTTTATGCGCAGAATGGCGACTTACTCGTAAGCGAACGCATTGGTGGCGAAGATGAGGGTGCACTGGTCGTTCTTTGCAGCGTTTTGCGCGCGGCCACAAATCGTTTTGCAGGCGATAAGGGAGAACAACTATGGACGGAGTATGAGTGCCATGCACCGCCACCTGTGAGCACCTCTCGGGAGCTGGCGCTGTACATGTTCAACGCCTTTTTTGGTGCCTCGAGCGCTGGCATCATGGACACCACAGACTCCTCCAATTCCGCTGAGCAGCAGGCAATTGACGTTGAGACACGTGAGTTGGGTGGTTACTGGTTTGTGACGCTGTCCCTCTCAAGGGTGGGTGGCTTGGCTGTAGCGCGTGCCATCGCCACGGCGAAGCGGGAAGGCGTCCGCGACGTGATTCTATTGGCCTGTCGGCGGAGTTTCCCACGCTCGCTGCAGTACTTGTTTGCGCATTCGAAAGAGATGAGTTCTTTTGCCGGGGAGGTATTTTCAGCACCAGTGGTGGAGATGCTGCCCGACACCGTGACTCGAGAGATCCAGCGGACGGTGGAGCGGGCAGAAAGCGCAGGGCCACCACGGCCGTATACGCTCCTGCGGCGCTGCGTCACACGTGACTTCCGCAACGAACGCTGGCTGCGTGTCGAGCAGGTGCCTAGTAGCGGGAGCGGGTTTGAATGCCGTATTTACCTACAGAAACACAAGCGTGAGTCCAAGAAAGGCGAGGTCCAACTTGTGGGGTTTGGCTCAGCCTTGACTCGCACGCAAGCGCTGCACATCGCCTCGCTCTGCGCGTTGGAAAATCTTTTTGAGGGAGATCTTGCGGAGGCCCTTTCACGCTCAGCGGGTTACAGGGACTTGCCGCCACCAGAGTAGTAAAGATAGCGAGAAAAACAGTTGTGGATGAAAAGGGGAAGGTGTGAAAGGAAAACATGCAGAATGTTTTTTTTTTGCCGGATTTGATGGCGGTGATGGGGTGCCGCTGGGCGTTGGCTGGTCGCGATGCCTGACGGAGAAATTCTTACTTCATTTATCGTTAAGGCTTTTCTTCATTTAGTTCTTTTTTTGTTAGTACAGGGCCATTTGAGTCTCGGGAAGGAAGCCACAGGGATGGTGGAATTCAAGAGCCCCATTCCCTTAGTGCCGGGAAGAGGCGCGGGGCGCACCTGAGAACGCGCCACTGGCCAACAAGAATTTTTGGCTGCGTCAGGGGCGTGGTTTGCCTTTGGAATTCAGACGAGGTGCCTCGCCAAACTCCTGTGACGGCCTTGTTGCAAGGCTTGTTTTCGTCCAATGGGGGGCATTTTGGCGTTTTTCATCAGCAGGGGGCCGCGCTGCATGAAGTGGCGCCATTGGCAGGATTCGATGGACCGTTTTGCAGGCGATAAGGGAGAACAATTATGGGCGGAGTAATGAGTGCCATGCGCCGCCAGCTGTGAGTACTTCCCGGGAGCCGGTGTTGTACGTGTTCAACGCGTTCTTGGGCGGCTTGTTGTTGGGAAGCGACGAAGTTATGCATCCAGGGTTGGTGCCATAGAATATGCGCTCCTACTCAGCAGCCGGAACAAGATTTTTGCTGCCCTTGGGTGGATTCTTCTTTATGCGGACACGTAACCGGGAAGTGCCTTGGCGGGCGCGGCCCATTGGGATTGTGGCAAGAAGATTCTCTTTTCCCCAATCTCAGGTTTTCACTGGGAATTAGAAAGAACGTTGCCCGTAATGTGACGGAGTCCACCTTTGACCCTTTTCGGAGGTGTGGTGAGAAAGGCATCTTGCGGCCACCATGTGGTTAAGGAAAATATCGTGAAGGAGGGGAGTGTTTCTTAGAACTGTGGGCTGCTCCTGTTTTTGGAACTCAACAAGGGAGCCACGCCGGAGATGTTGGCCTATTGATGTCCCAAGAATTACAGTACGGAGGGGGGTATGAGAAGTTGCGCGGCGGTGATGCATGTTTGTTACAGGCAACTTCATGCCATGTGCTGTGTCTCCCGTCCGATCCTGACTCTCTTTCTTTCTTTGGCTGGGTCTTTTTTCTTTTTTCCTCTTTTCACGACTCATTCACATATGTATATATATATATATATATATATACACGCAAATAATGTACACTATCTGAGAGAAGAAGGGAGGGTGACTGCGTCTCTCTGTTATGGACGAAATCCCATTTCCCACATGGGTGCGGCGTTCGCCGGTCTTTGCAATGACGCGGGTGCTGGGCCAACACCTGCTGCAACAGTTGCAACCCACGCGTGTAGAACCAACAGGACCAGTCGTGGTGGAAACTACAACCACAAACATCACAACAAAAAGGGCAGGGACTGCGTCGTCGTCGCCCATACGGCGAAAATGCGGGGAGGTTACTCCTCTCAACACGAGGTCTCTTAGCAACTCCGAATACTTTTCTCCAGTAAGATTATTTGGCTTAGACGAGCAAAATACAGGGGTTTTTGTAGACAATGTTGCGCGGCTTAACGAAACAAACACAACTTCTAACGAGTTTGGGGTGCAGCAGCGCTCTTGCAACTCCACGGGGATGCGGTTGGGCGACGTTCTGAGCCACCCGGGCGTTGCGCTACTGATTAGTTTGTCGCAGATCAACGAGCTCGTGTCACAAAAGGTCGGGGTGACTGTCAAGAACGCCCCAGCTTTGGTTTCCCTCATGGCTCTTGCAGTTGAGTGGCGTTTTTTGCCGTATGAATACACCAAAGGGTTTTATTCTGAGTGCGCCTCCTTTTACACATTGTTGATGCGTCAGCTTGGAACCACAAAGTTTTTCCCAGGTGTTGACGTGCAGGGATTTGTGGCGTCGCTTGTATTTTGTGGGATGCTGCTGCTGCGGGGCAACGGAGAGGGGCAGAAGGACGGTGAAAAGGATGGGGAGGAGACGAATGATCATGCCAGCCGCCGTGTCCACGATGCGTACATCAGCCAGAGCAGGGGGAGAAATATTGGTCTGGCAGGGTTTGATGGCTGCATCATCGACTCCATCATCATTTCCTGCATTCCATCCGATATTGACGAGTGCGTTGAGAACCCCATTGCTCTTGGTGCTCTGAATGGACTCGCCCACACAACGAAAAGTGAACCCATTTTTCTGAGCTCGCAGCTGCTGAATCATTTACAAAATTTGACAGACGCCTTTACAAATTCATCCAGGCGAAGGGAACCGTTGCACAAGCGGCTTCTTTGTTACCTCATGGAGGCGATTTGCTGCGCTCGAGGTGTAAATTACACGCGCATGCGCAACTGGCTTCGGGCCGTGCTTCAACCGGATTACGTATTACGAGGCCTCATGCAGAAAGAAGACCTGCATGCGCGCGTGGTCGCCGCGATGCTGACGCTCCTGACGGTGTGGATTCAAGACTCCGTAACAACATGTACGGTAAAATACAAAGGTGCGGGTGATGCTCAAGACGAAATCTCTTCATTTTTCTCCCGCGAAGAATGCACAGAGGCTGATGCACTTCTAGAGAGTGTTTGGTCTGCCCTCCAAGAGGCTGCGAGCCGATGGGAGGATCTTCGAAAGACAAACGTCAAACTCTACGGTGGTAACGTGCGCATTGTCGTGAAAAATTTATTACAGGCAGAATTGGTTCGTGCGCAGTGCTACAGAACCATTAGTGGCATGTATCAAGAGCAACAAGTGCAGCAGGGGGATAATACCTGGACAGGAAGTTATTTGCCTTCAGCCGAGGAGGAAGATCTCCGCCTCCGTGTGATTGGAAACATCGTTAAATTTCTTATCCTTCCGACGAGCATGTTTAGTTTCATAACGGCGAAGGCGTCAGCGACCCGACTTCGACAGGACATCGCCGAGCAATGCGTAAAGGTCATTGCGTTGACCACTTCTGCAGAGGGCAAAGCTATCTCTCTTTGGAAAAACGTCTCCACACCCTCTACTGTGACGAAGGCACAGTATTCACACAACTACCACATCAATATTGATGGCATCGTCCGCGAGTTGATCCACCGCGTACTGGAGGTTGGAACTTTGGAGACTTTTCAAGCCACGCCTCTGGATGAAGAAGGGGATGAAGGTCGCATGGCGGCATTATGTCTTCAGGGACTTTGTGCCACAAGTTCCCATGTGCGGTCCTTTGCGGTGACGGAGGTGTTGGATTCCGTTGTGCGTCTCTCAACGGTGCTCCAGTCTGTTGATGCCGAGAGTAGCAGCACGGATAAAAACGCATCGATTTCGTCAAGCCGAGCTGCTCCGCGTTTAGCAGTGTGCTTTGAGATGATGAATCGTCTGCTTGTGTCGCGGCACCTTTCCATTTTGAAGCCGCTCACTTGTGATGCCTTGTTACGCTTTGGAAAAGTTTTTTGGGACACGTTCGAGGACACCCTGCGAGTTCATGTGCGTTCTGGCGATCTCGCCAACCCCACGATAAAGTTTCCCAGTGCCACGCTGCTGATGGTTTTGGAATCCTTCTGGGGACTTGTGCAGCGTTGTCACGAACGCATTCGTGTCATGACACGGGAGGGTCTTCGTCTTGTCGCTTCTGGGGATGGGGAGGCAAAGGCACGCCTGGTTGAAGCGTTTAACGCGGAGAGCCGCGTCCTCCGTGTACTTTTGCGGACTTTACTGCGTTGCATGATTAATGTTGCGTGGCCCGGGTCTGGCATTCTCTACGGTAAAGCCTCCGAGAGGGGCACTCATCATCCGGCCGTGTTTGATGTGCAACGTATTGCCGTTGAGGTGCTGTCACTATTTCTCCGTCCCCTCTGCTTGCTATGCCAGCTTTCCACACTGTTTCCCGTGACGGATATCCGACACCTTGTGTATCACCATGAAAATGCACAAAAGCTCACGCAGTTGGATGAAGGGGAGTCTTTCTTGTACCACTACTGTTTTCAACCATCTAATATCAACTCTTCTTTCTATGCCGAAAATGGGATGGCACAGTTCCGTTCTTGTTGGCTCATGTTATCATACTACCGTCTTACAAGAGAAGCACTCTTGCGGACCGAAACGGATGCGACGAGTACTGCCTCAGACAAACTGCGCTGCCAGGAAAAGGGTTTAAATTCAATGGATTGGACCAAATGTATACGATTGCTTGCCGCGTCCATGCCGCCTCTTATGCATATGCGATCCTCCGATTATCAGCAAACCATGGCAGACATAGATGTTTTGAAACATCGGTTATTCAGCAGTGGTGATTTAGGTGACGGTAAGTTTTATCAGAAGGAGTTGGTGCGTTTTCTTCAACGCTACTGTCCAGAGGCCAAACATGTAATTAAGCGTCTTTCTTTTTCGGAGGCCTTTTTGATAAATGCTCTCGCGACATTGGAGATGCTACGTGCATCATGTGGCTCTATCTCCACCATAACGCATTATCAACATTATGAGCTACGGGAGTTTGATGCCAGTAAGGATATTAGAAAAATTGTGAAGCATGTAACAAAGGCTGCCACGGCACGATATATCTCTGCTCTCGGAGAAACGCTCCCGGATTTTGCGGCGAGTATCATTGATAAGAATGCGCGGCAGCTTGTTTTGCTCTACGGATTTGCTATTGACTCTGTACGGAGTTCTGCAAAGGAGATTCTTCGCAATATTATTTCTAGCTTTCCCGCCTTTGCGACAAGCAGCACGGCCCTTCCTCTCTTGTGGGCGGTGATCAATGTGCTGGAGGTAGGGAACGCCACGGAGGTGGAACGTTTCTGTGAGCATCTGCAGTTTCCAGAGGCGCCAGCTGTTGCCACGGATCCTGATTCTCTTGAACGGCGAAATCGGCTACAGGATGCTGTGGCATTTGCGGAGTATTGGGCCCAGGCGGCGCGTAAATTCTCGCCTTTGGCACTTGTGGAGCACGCCACCTTATTTATTGTTGAGGAGGAGGCCACATCTGGGGTGATCGGCTCTGCTGCCGGCTCGAGACTTGCCCTTCGTGCACACAACATGGACACTGCACCAGGCCATCCTAACCAGAATTACGCCCAAATTCTCATTAAGAGGAGCAATGCCCAAGGGCAAGTGATGGCAGCCTTTCGTTTGACTCCACATTGTGGGGTGGGCGTTCTTCTTCTTCGCCAGCTTCAGGCGATGGTGAGGGACAGGCTTGGAACGGTAACCGTGACCGCAAAGTCCCACGAGCGGCTTTTTGCGTCCTTGGTGAGCACCGTTCACGCGGTCACCAAGGTGGGGCCATGTGCCGAAGACGAAGACTGCAACGACACCGGGACTGAGGCTGGTGAGGGGATATCGCATGAAGAACCATCCACGCGCGGCGACCAGGCTGCATTACGAAGGCTTTCCGAGGCCGATACGCTTCTTTGCACGGTTGCCGCATTCTTGGTCTCCGCACGGAGTTCTCCTTCGACGCAATTGGAACTTCTGTGGCATCTTGTGCGGGGACCCATTTTTTTGTTTTCAAGTCACTACATATCGGCTGCCATTCAGGGTTGGCAGTGGCTTTTATTTGAGAAGCCCGAGCGCTATGCGGTGCCGTTGTTGGTACATTTGGTGGAGGGGTTTATCTGGACGATTGTGCAGAGACTTGGTCTTTTTGACGGCACCAGACCTTTTCAGGCGGATGAAGTGGAGTCGGGGGAGAAAACGACTTCGATTCAGTGCGAGGCTTTATACCCCAAGGAATATAATGTGAACTCCCCGCATAAACTTCTTATCGAGTTTCTCTCGGATTGCTACGTGGACATTCGTGGGCCTGTGTCTTTTCATCCGTCTGTGCTTCTTCTCCTGCACCACCTTGCCATGCGAGTGGTTGAGGCACCATCCCGATTCTCCACGAAAGATAGTTCCTTTTCGGAAATGATGCGTTGCGCCCTATTAATGAGTTCCATATGCCATAATTTGCAGATTGTCAATGAACGTCGCTTAAGTATTGGATCACCCGCTTTTGTGGCATCCGCTTCTATTGGAAAAGTTCGTCAAGGCTGGTACAAGTGTCTGTTGCAATGGTTTCACAAGACTCCGCCTTCGTGGTACTTTACGCGAGATCCCTCTGCCGCAGAGGAGGAGTTGGTGGTGCTTCAGAAGCTCATAAAAGTACTTGATGCGGATCGAGATGCGTTGCTGCGTTCTACGCATGGCTTTCTTGATTTTGACCCGTCTAAAATTCATGCTTGTACGGCTGCGAAGTTTACTCTTATGGGAAGTAGTGTGCGTCATACACTCTGTGACATGCTCTCGGACGATTCAGTGAAGGCGGAGGGGGTGATTCGGGGGGTGATCACCAGTGAACGAAACCGCCTTTTGGATCTTATTGCGCTAATGAGACTTTTGGTGGAGCACGAACGCACACGACTTGCGGTGTGGCTTCGGCCACGTGTAGGGGCTGGCGCCCGGTTGGGGGAGGGGAGTTTGAATGGCCTTTCGGAGGCCGTGTGGAGGAGGCATTGTGAGGCGGCTGCGAGGAATAACCCTGCGGTGTTACTGGCGTTGGTGGCAAGATTTCCCAGTCCACATTTATTGGGGTCCGCCACGCGGCATGTAACCACCAACCCCGAAGCCTATTGCCACCTACCCGAGGCAGTTGATCTTTACCTTAACGAGGAGGTGCTTAGGAGTGGTTATCCCGCCCTCGGTTTATTTACAAATTGCACAATTGTGCAGGCTCTTTGTTTTCTTGACAAATCCTACACGACGCGGTACCCGCAGATTTCAGCGTATGCTCTTCGCAGTCTGTTGTCCCAAAAGAGTGAAAGTCTTATATTTTATCTCCCACAAATCGTACAATTACTTTCTGGTGATGCATCGGGCGGTATCGCTGTCTTCCTCCGTAAGATGTGCGAGAAGAGTGATATGTTTACGCATCAGCTGCTTTGGTCCTTGCGGACGGAAGGGGAGGGGGGAGCTGAAATGGCAAGACGATGCGCACAACTTGCTTCTGATGTGGAAGAAGGACTTGTTGCCAAACGGCGGTCGTTTCACTACGGGGAGTTTTCTTTTATTGAAAAGATCATCTCCGTGTCGGGTGAAATGAGGTCTTTTGAAAAGGCATTGCGGAAGGAAAAACTGCTTCTTCGTCTGCATGATGCGGAGTTTCACGAACCGGTAGAACGGCAACATTTGTACCTTCCCACAGACACACGCTGGCGCATTGCGGGGATCATACCCGAAACAGCTGCCGCGATGCAAAGTGCGGCAAAGTGCCCCATACTGGTCCAGTTTAAATGCATCCCGCGAGATCCGGATGATTGCGAGGTTGCCCTGAAGAAAACGAATGAAAAGTCACCCGCGGACACAGAGACTACCATAAAGGCATGTATCTTCAAGATGGGCGATGATTGCCGACAGGATCAAATTGCTTTACAAATTATTGGTCTCTTTCAGCGCATTTATGACGCCATTCAGGTGCCATCTTACTTGTATCCATATCGGGTAGTGACGACTGGAAGGGACAGCGCTGTCATTGAGTGTGTTCCTCGTGCGATGAGCCGGGACCAAATTGGAAAACTTGTAGAAAGCAACCTTGCAGAGTACTTTGTCCAAACTTACGGTCACCCAGAGTCTGTTACGTTTCACCGGGCCAGAGAATGCTTTATACGAAGTATGGCTTCATATTCGGTCGCTTCTTTTGTGCTCAATGTTAAGGATCGTCATAACGGCAATCTCATGATTGATGCTCACGGGCACCTCGTGCACATTGATTTTGGATTTTTGTTTGACTTCTCCCCAGGGGGAGACATTAATTTCGAGTCGTCACCATTCAAACTGACGGCGGAAATGGTGCAACTTATGGGATGTCCTGTGGGCCGTGGAAATGGAACGGTGCAGAGCCACTCCCTATCAAAGGCGTTGGTGGATCCCGAGGCGTACAATTTGTTTAGGGATTTAACAGTTCGCTGTTACCTTGCGGTGCGCCAATACGCCCGTCAGATTTGTGTACTTGTAGAGTTGATGCTGGGCAGTGGCTTGCCCTGCTTCAAGCCCAGGAAGACGATTCGGGATCTCGCATGGCGACTCTCCATGCAGATGAGCGAAGTAGAGGCTGCTGAATTTATGCTCCGGCGGATTTCAGAATCGAGGGGGAATCTCCGAACGGTTCTTTATGACAGGTACCAAAATTTCGCGGAAGGCATAGAGATGTAAGACGGGGAGCTTTCCTTTCTGTAGGCCTGTTTTTGCGGCGGCTGTGTCGTGGCGGGCGGGGTGGCGTTGCGCGAATTACGGATCGTTGGGGCGTGGAGGGGGTGCTATGCCATGATTCAACTCCTCGCTTCGATTTTTTTTCGCTGTCCGGGCGGTGCGGGCGCGTGTGTTTGTTTCCGCTGGTTTGCCCCCTTCCGCCCCACGCGCCGCTCTTCTTTTTTTTTTTTTTATTATTGTTTGAAGCTTGTGGGGGAAAAATTGTTAGCGAGAAGGCCGGCGTCCCCAAGAATAAGGGTGTTCGTTCCGCCGGCGTCGGTTCCTTGCCTCCTCGCGTCGCGGCCGCACGGAGGGCCGCGGGGAAGGAAGGGGCCGCAAAGAAGCGCCCCCTCGCGTTGCCGGGGGGGGCCGCGTCCGCTCCGGAAGTGGGGGCGACGGGCGCACCGCGGGACATCGGGCGCCTCGCGCGCCAAACATCGCGACCCACCCGCTCCCGCCCGTCAGTTCGGGGAAAGGAACGCCACGCCTTCATTTCAGGCGCGCGGAACGAATAGCTGCCTCGCAGCGCATGCGTCCAACACTGCGGTGGCGGACGGTCTTTTTGCGCAACGAGAATCGGCGCTTGCGGGGAGCGAAAGCCATTTGGAGACAACCCCTGCCCAACCCCAGGCACAACCCCAGGAACGAATGGCACGAAAGGCACGTACCGGTGCCTTGGCGCGGCTTGGGGTGCCGATACGCCCGGACGGCGAGGAGTTCCCTCTTCCAGGAAAGGGCCGCCAGATGCGCTCGCGCACGGGTCCGAGGATGGCGCATCGACACCGCCCCACCACGAGCGTTTGATGGCCGGGGGCGCGGCTGCAGCCACAATTCCCCAACCCATTTTCACGGGAGAGCGACGGCGGGTCAATACTCTTGCGTCATTGGGCATTGTGGGCGACCGCGTTTCCCTCACCCCGTGACTTCGCCCTTTCGATCTCCGGATTCAGAAGAGGTTTCCGGTTCAAATGAAGAGAATCCGGGTTTTCTTTGAATTTGTCGTCAACACTTGGGTCCCGCGAATTTGGAATGAAGGCATCTTCGAAATTCGGAGCGCATGCGATTAGTGGCACCGAGGGGACGCTCACGCCCGAATCGCCTTTGGCATTTCTGGTTTTGTGGATGCGCGCTTTGCAGTTGCATCGGGAGCCCAACAAGCAGTTTATGGACTTGGGCAGGATTATACCGCGGGTCCTCCGGATGCGGATCATGATTAAATTCGACCCCAGCATCCCGATCCAAAAATTGCCCGCCCGCCTTCGCACGGCTTTTCATGGGGACGACACCTTCGCGAGGGTGGCTCAGCCTTTCATGGATCGACGGGGAACCCGACCGCAACAATAACGATCGTTGCGATGCCAACTGTGCCTTATTTATGGACACGACGCGTCTACCTGCAAAGTGCGCCCCAAAAGGGTTTTCCCCAAACTACAAACGAAAGTTAAAAAACGGCAGAAGAGCTGCCGCACGCCGCTCATTAATGCCGGCGACGGCAGCCGCACCCAATCCACCACCTCCCGCTATTCCGCACAGGCATCGCACCGCACCGCTGACGCCTCATCCGGTCGTTCGGGCTGCCGACGAGATTGGCGAGAGGGGCGGAAGAGATGGCTTGAGAAATGTGGGTGACGTCAAATTGGGAGCGGAGAATGCCCCTGGCGGGGCAATTCACAACCTTTCGCCGCACGCACGAACAGGCAATCAGCAAGGAGAGCCGCGCGGCCTTTTTGATGACAATCGAAGTGGCGCCATCGACCCGACCGCAGTACGCCAGGATGCTGCGGTCCATGTTGGAAATGGATCGAACTCCGCTGGATATGGCGCTTCTGGGGGTTGCAAAAGTTTGCGGCGCGATAAAGGGCGAAGCTAGCGCGCCCCCTGACAAAGGAAGGGATGAATCAAGTAATCCGCAGCCGGACCGATTGGAAGGAACGTGTTGTCTTACGACTTGCGTGGATAACGGCGAGCCGTTGGTCCGAGATTGCGGCCTTGACCCCAACAATTTCACAATGGAGCGTGACGGAGCCTTAATTTTGGATTGGCCCGTGGCGCCGAAGACGGCGAAAGCGGATCCCCACCGCGCCTCGCGGTTCGTGAAGATACGAGGGCAAGACGCTTTCGACATTATAAAGCTATGCAGGACACTTCAAAAAAACAAAGGAAAGCTCACGAATCTTACGACTGCTCAGGAGGAACGAGCTTTGGCTCCGTGGAAAGTCACGGCGCATTCCATAAAACAGGGTGCGCTGAGGCACGCAGCTCCAATCGTGGAGACGCATAATTTGGATCCACACGTGATCTCGCAGTTAGCGAAGCACGTCAATCCGTTTGACCTTCCCCAGAATACTGTTTGATATTTGGGGAGTCACACCACAATGCTGACCCGACGTTGTCGCTGGTCGCATGGATGTGAAGGGAGAAACGGCGGAAGGGCAAGAACCCTGGATGAGAGCAGAGGAGCGTTTTTTCCATGGTGTTTATCATCGCGACACGACAATCACGAGACGCGCGACAAGAACGCGTCTGGCCACGCCACACTGTGTCAGAAACGCCGAGAATTTAGGCGTGGGCGCGCAATTTTTCCTTCCTTTTCTTCGGGGCGGCCGCGCGGGAAACTGGCGACCGACGCCCCGAGAGGGGGGTGGAAAAAGAAACGGAGAGAAAGCCTGGGAAAATGCCTGGGTGCCGGGAACCAGCGTGGCAGCGAGCGTCTGACCGCCGAGGCCCACGCACCGCACGAAGCCGGGTAGCCGGTAAGCAACAGAATGCTGAGGAAAAAAAAAGACGGGAAAGAATCAACAAAATAAGACAGCAGCGCCCACAGCGCCGGCGGCCACGAAAAAAGTAATAACAACACACGGGCCCCGCGATCTGTCAAACGTAGGTCCTTTAGGACCTTTTGGTTTTTATTTCTTATCCTCCAGGAGCGCCCCCCACGCTCCTCGAATCCACCGCCGCAGCCCCGTGCCGCCCGGCGAACTATAAGTCGCACCCAGCGCCCTTGAGCCCCGGACCACGTCGGAAAAACCCGCGCTAGTGCCTTTAGCAAAGTCCAGGATGCGTGGTACATCCGCATTTGCGGCTTTCTCCCGCAAGCAGGTCTCCATAAGCGATGGTTCCGCTTCGTCGTCCGGCGGCGGCGCCTGGAACGCCGGCCGCCCAGCCTTCTCCGGCGGCCTGGCGACCTTTCCGGCGGCTCTCGTCAACCTCGTCAGCCCCTCCGTTACCGAAACGCCTTCCTACGTCTGAATCGCCGCCCTTCACCTGAGGATGTTCTTGACCGGCGGCGGCTTCGCAAAACCTGGGCGAGGGGGGAGGAGAAGGCGCGGAGAGAAGGCGAAACGCTGGAGGAGACGCGGCACGACCCGCAAGCCGGCAACAACAACAACAACAACAAAAAACGGAAGGAAGGGGAGAGAGAAGAGAAGAAGCAGAAAAAGAACAACGGCACGCAGGGGCCCCCGCCACGGCACCGATGCTTCCCCCCGCTCCTCCGAAGCCACGCCGCAATCAGCCACCAACACGCAAAGGAAAAAAGCAAGAAATCGCAATGCTAAAAAGAAAAAAACAAAACAAGAAGGCAGACACACGTCCATAAAAAAAGCGGCGGCCATTGCCGTCGGTGCTCCCCGCACTCGAATCGTCTACGCAATTTTGAGCGCGCCAACGGTGGCTGCAATGGCGGCGGCCGCACCGTTGGAACCAGCCTGCTCAATCTCCTCCGAAGCGCCGTCGTGCACCTGAATATACTTTAGAATTGTACGCTTACTGCTGTCCTCCAACTCACCGCCCAGTATCACCTCGTCCAGCACAAAATAGGCTCGATGGAAGTTGAAGATGAGATCGAGCTCGCAGACATTGCCAAAGTAGCGGTCCAATACCTCCACAAAATGGTGGATGACTTCCAGCACGATCAGCTCGTTGTCGTCTTTATCGATGGAAGCAACAAAATAAAGGGAGGCATAACGACGACAAATGTACTTGCTGCCCCTGTGCTCAACCACATTGGAAAAGCGCGCCGACCGACCCAAAGCAAGTTGACATGCCTCACGCACAAGTTTGGCCTTTTCCTTTTTGGGATATGCAACATACCACTTTGCCAGGCGCAGTTTGCCCTGGCGGCTGATCAGAAGCAGGTATTTTATCATCGACACCAGTGCCAGAATGGTCCCCACTCCTCGCTAAGTAATGCTATGCGCCTCTGCAGCTTGCCCCTACGCTCTGTTTGCTTCGTGTTCTTTCACTGCCTTTTCGCCGTCGCGCGGGGGAATCGGGACTTCTTGTCTCGGCACCGCGCGCTGCGGATAAAAAAACGAGGGAAGCCAGCAGCAATGGGAAGGTGTGGAGAACAAAGAAGGGAAGAAAGGGAAACACACAGAGCTGCAGCTCGACAGGGGGAAGAGAGGGACAGAAAGTGAGAGAAAAGCGGTAGCTGTAACAGGTTCTTGACGGGTTTCCTCTTGCCATGCCCGCGCGTCTCTATTCAAAGAAAAGAAAAAGAAAAAAAAAAGGAGAGACCGCCACGATTATCACAAAAACAAGGCTCAAATTGCAATGGTCTTTGCGCACATGCATCTGCTGACTCCGCCTCGTGGACGTTTGGACGCGACTGTCACAAGCAGAGAGTGTGAGCACACAGGCGGCAGCCGTGGAAGACGCAAACCAGCACCTACATCCATCCTCGC